GGCACCTTAAGTAACTCCTCCCACAGCGTGTACGCATCACTGGATATCCGTGAACATTGTTTACTGAAGTCTGAGCGGAGAGTTTCTCATTTAAATTCAAAAGGCCTCCATTCTGTCCTCGGCTTGTTCGGTGGGATCAACATGGTAATGGTCAGTGCCGTTGACGGCTCAGCGGGAGAACTCACCCGGGTGAAGTCGCCTCATGTGTTTCTTCAGCTCCGAAGACGTCACGAAGCTTCCGTTGCACTGCGCACATTTGTAAGGAGTCTCGCCTAAAGCACACACACACACACACACACACACACACACACACACACACACACACACACACACATTAATCTTTCTGACCATAAAAAGCAGGAATGCCGACGTGTTGAAAACGTTCAATCATATTTAAGGAAATATAAATTGTATCCTCTGAACTAAAAATGTCATCAAAGGCCATAAATCCAAAAGCTTCTTTACACTCATTCGAACCGGCTGAAACGCCCCCCAAAAAACAGAGTAATTAAACACTGCACAGGGGGGCGAGGAAGAATGAAAGCGGCTCACCGGTGTGTTTGCGGGCGTGAGCGATGAGCGAGGACGAGACGGAGAACGACATGCCGCACAGGTCGCACTGGTACGGTTTCTCTCCCGTGTGCCGCCGCTTGTGGTACGTCAGCGTGCTCGACTGAGCGAAGGCCTGACCGCAGATGTCACAGACGTACGGTTTCTCCCCGCTGTGCAGTCTGAGGACACACACACACACACACACACACACACACACACACACACACACACACACACACACACACACACACACACACACACACACACACACACACACACACACACACACACACACACACACACACACACACAGAGTTTGTTTAAGAAACAATATTTCCATTTTGAGAGACTGGACCCAATCTTCCGTCCCATGACGGATCATTTCAATCCTTAATCTCAAGAACAATAAATATATGTGGTGGTACATCATGTTTTCAGGGAATTAGTTAAATAAATACATGCTTTTTCTTTACTGCTGTGTGAATCAGATTTCTACGTTGTTGTCATAATGTGTTTTCTCCTTAATTTAAGAACTTTAGTGCAATTTTTTAGTTTTGAGTGAAATTATAGATCGATAAATATTTCCAGAGAAACAGGAGTAGTAAAAATCACCCTTTGAGTGAACTGAATCTAACCGTGATATTATCATTGTTAATAATATAACAAGAAGTAGTAATAATACCTGATGTGTATCTTGTAGTTGGATGAGGTAGCGAACTTGAAGCCGCAGCGCTCGCAGGTGTACGGCTTCTCCTCGCCGTGGTGCATCCGGCGGTGAGCGACCAGCTGACACTTCTGGGCGAAGCACTTGTCGCACTCGGAGCAGTTGAACGGCTTCTCGCCTGCAAACGAACGCCAGAGACTCAAAGTCAGAAATAACGGCAGTGTGAGATGTTTCTCCTCATGGAGTTCATCAGGACTTATTTTCCATCCAACTGAACAAGCCAAACATCACATTTATTAAGGGTGTGATTATTTATTCTTATGCCTGCAGAGCCGATCTTCAATGTTCTTACTTCACTAAAAGTGCACAGCAATTCTGGGTGTTTATCAAGAAAATAAATGGTGTATTTCCTTCTTTTCTGTGCTGCAATTCAGTACTTTGGTTAAGATATTCCTTTATTAGTCCCACAAAGGGGAAATTCACAGGATCGCGGCAGCAAAGTGGACAGTGCACAGAAAACACATGGTAAAAAACAAGAGCAGCAGTAATAAGTAAGAAGGTAAAACAAAAAAATAATAATGATAAGACACAAATAAAATTAAAAAGGAGCGCAAAGACCACATTAACTAAATATACTGGTTATAAAGACATCGACTTCAACTCAAAGTTATGGGCGCTCAATCAATTCAGCGAAATAGAACTGACAAAGTGACTGATAATTTAAAGCAGTGGTTCTCAAACTTTTTCTGTCGCGCCCCCAAAAATGTGACAAAATGGTCCATGATGAATTTTTATTGAAATAACGACATTTTGTGACTCCATGTGTGCTTTTATTAATAATAGAATAAAGAAAATTTAAGTCCCTTTCATGTAAACTAGATTGCTCCATCAGACATAAAATGTGCAGTTTGTTGGAACAATGCAAATAAAGTTGTGCAAAAAAAGAATTAATATTTGTCAAAAATAGCTCATTGTATCAGCCTAATTAACATGTTTTGTACTGAATATCTTTTCAGGATAATAACAAAAAAGTTCAACCTGTGAAAAATAAAACAAAATATGGTCTTGAGAAAGACACTGAAGCCCCAGTTGCTTCACAGCAGCACACTGCTCCTTAACTACTAAGGATGAGTGAAATGCAGGAATCATTTCCCCAAGTGGGATTAATAAAGGATTATAAATAAAAGTTTAATTTTTCATTTAAATTTAATTTTTTTTTTAATCTACATCTCCCCCAGCCCCTCGCGCCTCACCAGAGGGTCGCGCCCCACAGTTTGAGAACCACTGATTTAAAGCGTCATTAGATTTCATTCCGTTTCCTCACCTGTGTGGATGCGCAGGTGAGTCTTCAGCTGGGTCGCCTGTCTGAAGTTCTTGGAGCAGAAGATGCAGACGAAGGGCTTCAGGCCCTTGTGGATCTTCTCGTGTCGCCGCAGGCTGCTCACGTCCTTGAACAGCTTGTTGCACTCGGTGCACGACAGCGACAGCTCATCCATTTCCTGCTCCCCGATCTCGCCGTCGTCCATCTCCTCCCCCACCACGTAGTCGTCATCGCTCCCCGCCCCGCCGCTCTCCTCTTCTTCCAGCTCCTCCTCCATGATCTTCCTCCGGCCTCGCCCCCTTCCTCTCCCTCTGCCCCGCCCCCTTCCTCTGCCACGGCCCCTACGCCCCTCGCCGAAGCTCAGCCGGGGCTTCTTTGCCCCGAAGTCGTCGTCGTCGTCTTCCTGGGAGGGGCTCCAGTCCTCAGAGAAGTCTCCGAAATCTTTCACGCTCCCATCGGAATCTTCCAAATACGGATCCTGGGTCTTGAGCGCCCCTCTGCCCCTGCCTCTCCCCCGGCCCCTCCCCCGGCCTCTGCCCCTCCCCCTGTAGCTCTGAGGTTTGGGCGTGGCATCGGCGGAACCGCTCGGCTCCACGAACTCGCTGCTGACTCTCTTCGGCCGGCCTCTCTTCCTCCCCGTTCCTCTTGCGACGCTCTTCGGCGCGGCGGGGGTGTAATCCTCGCCGCTCTTCTCTCCATCTCCAATATCTGCATAGGCAGTGGCGGCCTCCTCCTCTTCCTCCTCCTCCTCCTCCTTCTTCTCCTTCTGCTGCTCCCCGCCGGGCGCCCCCTCCTCCTGACCCCCCACCAAGACGGAGACGATGGACAGGGGAACCGGCGAGCTGGGGC